TCGATGAGACCAGTTGACCATATTCATCACGCAAGGGAGGCTTCCATTTTTCCAACTCCTTGCGGACCTGCTGTAGTGAGACCGTGTAGGTCTGGAGCACCGTGACTGGGACCTCAGTTGAACCAGCCATTGGAGCCAGAGAAGCCATCTTGTAGTTCTGCAAGGAGGAATGCTGAAACGACAATTGATCTTCAGCACCTTGGAGCAGCGTTTCAACTTCACGAAGCCAGCTGCCATGAACGCTCCCCGCGTCTTCACCAACTGCAACTTCTCGAAGACCTTGGCACCAGAGCTGCTTCAAAGCCCAGTGACGTTGTTGTTCAAGTTCATGCCACTGCTCTGCTTGTTGTCGTGAGCAGCGCATAGGATCTTCCAGCTCCCCCGGAAGGTCAGGGTGTTGACATTGATCACCTTGATCATGACTATATCGGGCGTGGGACCTCCAACAACCTCCTCCGACTCCCCTTCATCCTCAAATTGAAGTGCCAAGGAGCAGCCAACATCGTCCAAAAAGGGCAAAGGATCCTCCCCCCCAGCTCGGCAGGCAGCAAGAGCTGGGTCAGACTTATCATACAAGGCGCCCACGGCTCCAGCAAGAGGATGGTCAGGTAGAGGTGGTGGATGTTTCCGCACAATGCGGTGCTTGATTCATTGATGGCACCTCCTGCAAATCCATGATCGCCTGGTCAGCCACCGGCGAAGGTTCCAAAGCCGTCCTCACATGAAGCAGCTGCCCCTTCTTGTCGCGGGCAATCCAACCATGAGACATGTATGGACATGGTCCCAAGAGCTGCATGGTGCGGTAGGGCATGGAGAGTTGTCCAGCACGATGCCATCGTTTGGACTTGACCAAAACTGAAGCTCCATAGCGAAGCATTGGTGGGCTCGGCAGGCCCAATCTTTCAAGTTGTAGGCGCATGCACACGGCCTTCTGCAGCATGGCGTAGGGCTGTTGGCCAGAGGGATTGAGGAAGTCCAGAAACATGTAAAAGAAGTCGAGTTCGACGCTTGATCTGGTTCACTTCTCCCTCGATGCGGCCGTTGGCCTTCGAGTCATCGCCTGCAGTCAGGGTCAAACGAAGTTGACGTTGTTCACACCATTTTTGAATTGGGACTGAGGCGAAAGATCGTTCTCGATCTGTGTGGAGTCGGTACACTTGGATGCCCAGCATGCGGTACTTGGCATGTAGTCGAGACAGGGCACGGACCAAAGACTCCACAGTTCTGTCTGGGATCACCTCAGCAAACGTGATATTTTGGTGTCCAGGAGCTTCTTGGGCCTCTTCAATCTGGGCCAACTCATTGAGCCGCTGAACTTCATCATCAGAGAGCATCTCTCGCTCTTCAGGATCACAAGGCAGGTCCTCAGTGTGCTTGACGTCGTCTGCAGTGTCATAGGGCTCGGCAACCTCGCCTGGAAGCTCTGAGACGATGGGCACGGCCACAGTGGAGATCAGTGCATACTTACAGGTCACTCCAGTGCCGAGGTCACGACCAGCAGGGAAGGGTCCACATAGATCCGCTGACATAGTGAACTTCGTTGCACTCCCCCCAAGTCTTTTGTGAGGTTTATCACAGCCCATCGCTTCGCCGCAGATTCGGCAGTCAGCACGAAAGGGAATGTGCCCCTGTTTGATGTGTCGGTGCCAGGCTGCAAGGTCCATTTTGGACATGTTGTGGGTGTCACCATTTCGACTTTCCTCCTCCAAAACGCCAAGCAACCTCCGCAGCGATTCCTTGATAGCAGCCACAAGTCCTGGCGCCCAAGCGGCCCAAGACTTTGAAGTGCGAATGCGATCTGCCAGTTTGGTGGGTAGTGGACTATCATCACAACCTTCACCCTGGAGACCATGTAGTTCTTCGAAGGCCGGGAGGTTGGTGAGGACCGTCGTGGGCTTCTTTCGCTGATGACAAAACCGTCCTTGGTCGAAGGTGACCAGACGACGTCCTGCAGTTCCAACCCAGGCCGTGATTTCCGGGAAGCACCAAAAAGATGCGCTTTGAGCTCCTTCTTGATCACTCAGGTATTCAGCTGGGTCACGTGGAGATTCAAGCAGCATTCCAACATCCGTGGGAACACGACGGCATTCTTGAGCACGTAGCCAAAGACCAATGCGCTACATGCAAAGTGCAGTGTCGCCATGGGCCAAGCGCTGCTCATCATCGTCCAAATCAGGAAGGCACCAACGATCTTCTCCTCGGCCACGTGGTCGACGAGGGCCAGGAGCCTTATTTCGAAGGCGGCTTACAGTTCTGCATGGAGGGCCTCCAATGATGGCAACAATGCGGCGAAGTGATGCCAGCTTCCACAAGTAACTCCAAACTGAAGGGTTGTGGAGGTTCAGAGCTGCATTGATCTCAGTGTCGATGCACAGCCATGAGTAGCGGCCTCCACCAACATCATTCCATTTCTTCGCGTCAGCTCCACTGAAAAGGTGAACAATGACACCCTTTCCAGTCATGTGGGCCCGTCGCAACCTTCAATTCCAGGGCGGAGCTGTAGGTTCTTGACTTTGACCAGCCATATGCTGGAGAACTGGAAGTGGTAGTTCAGGAAAATGCTTCTGCCACCAACTTCGATCTTCATCAGAGAGAGCCACCTCCCCCTGATCCTCCATCTCAAACTGCGCCAACATGTCCAGCGCAGGCTGTCGATGCATGATGGGGCATCCATTCCTCAGCCAACAGGAGATTGGTCCCAAGGTCGGGTGGTGGATGCTGCATCCCGAACGTCGCCATTCCACCTTGAAGCCGCGCTCAACCAAGAGGCCCAGAGGGATGATCGGCTCAACCTCCGTCAGGGACAACAAGGTGCGATGCTTGGGGTGGCGATACAAAACTGTTGAGCCTTGTGCCAGCTCCACTTCAACTGGAAAAAGTTCAGCTCGTTCTTCAGGTCTGAGCACTAATCTGCTTGATGCGCATCGTCTTCACGGACCGAAGCGTCTTGAGCAGCGTTGCAGCTTCTTGGATGAGGTCTGTGGCGATGTCATTCTTGGGCTTTTCCTCCAGCGTTGACTTGGCTGGAGAACCACCTCCCGAATCCTTCAATCCCCCTCCAGACACCGTCGTCGGCGACAAGGGCGATGGGCTCGAAGTCGATGTAGACCCAGGACTTCCCACTTCCACCTCCTTTTCTTTGGTCGGGCTTTCTTTTGAACCCTCGGGTGCAACTCCTCGCAAGCGAGCTGCCTTTCTTACATCCTTGAAGTTCTTGGGCTGTCGGTGCACACAATCCTTCGCCATGTGACCCTCCCCCGAACAGTAGAAGCACCTGTGCTGTCGGTCCAAGCCCTCCCAGCTATGCCCATAGCCACAAGTGTCTCCTCGTTTACAGCCATGTTGGGTCCCCCAAAACTTGCATGGAGACCGAGGTTTTTCTTCTTGAGTGCCGGACTGCATCGCCTTCACCACCGGAGTCTTTTCATTGGTAGTGGACGAGCTCGTCGTGTTGGCGGCACCCTTAGGGACTGCAGCAACCAAAGCCAGCTCTTCCAGCTCCGCCTGCAGGTACTCGCTGAGGTCCTTGATGGAGTTCATCTCCGGACGTTGATCAACCAACAATTCCTGGCGCACAGTTGAGACTCTGTACGCCACTTGGCTGCCTCCCAGCTTGGCCAACGAGTCCATGATCTTGCCAAGGACATTCATGAGGATCAGCGGGTCTGGCAGCGTGACCTTAAGTTCTTCAGCTCGCTGCAACCATCGGCGCCATTGCCGCATAGTGGCCAGGAGCTCCGTGACGGAGTGACCCACCTTCACTTCGGTGAGGCTTTTGAGAAGCGTTGTGCGTTCAGCTCCTCCTCCAGGTTGAAACACTACAAACAACTTGAACAGGATGCTCACAGTTGTGACGTGGCGAGAGGAGATGACATCTCTTCTCAGTTGTTCGGGCAGGATGCCCAGCAGCAATGACACTCCCCGCTGCTCCACTCTCTGGTACAAGGGGTCCACAGTGACATCTTTTGGCCGCAGGCGCAACCTCTCCAAGGGCGTGGCCACCAGCCACTGTTCATATAGTTCACGAGCGGCAGAAAGGCATCCATCCCACCAAAATTGCGAGGTAGAGGACAAGTCCGCCATCAACGGATAGGCCACAGTCAGCCAATCCCCAAACTGCAATGCCGCGCCTTCGGATGAAGGTAGTGGAAGGGCAGGAAGATCCAAAGCCCTGACGGTCTCTGGAACGACCGGAGCCAGCGGAGTTCGAGCATCCCCATGAGGTTAACCACCATGAAGGCCTGGGGGAGGATCTGGTCCTGACCCGGGAGGTCCACCTGCACCTGAGGGATCACCATGTGGTAGTCCAGGATGTGTTGTAGTTCCACGACCATCAACTCCACCACTGGCAACGGAGGCATACGACGATGCATCACCACCACCTGCTCCATCAGTTATGCGTTTGACTTCACGAGCGAACTTTTCCTCCGCCTCTTTGAGGATCTGGGTACGAAGTTTCTCAACATCCCCAGGTCCTGGACTTCCGTTGGTAGCCCGAGCACCTGCACTTTCCGCCATTCTCACATGACCTTCACCTCGTGCAGCTTGTTGAATTGAAGTGGTCCAGAAGGGGTTCACAGTGGCAAGGGGGCCCTGTGGTGTGCGATATGGTTCAAGCACCCTGGGTTTCACCTCCTCCCGCTCTACCTGCCTTGTACTTGCAGGCGTGCCCACTCGTGGATCACCATGTGGAGCTCCAGGTTGATGTGGAGTTCCAGCCAAAGAACCTTGCCCAGCAAAGAGTCCGCCACCTGGTGGATGAGGTAGTCCCGAACCAGGTCCTTGAGGTAGTTCAGAACCTCGAAGAAGGGGGTCAAGAAGTCCCGGAGCAGGAGATGGTGGCATGTGGTGGCCCAAAGCCTGTTGCAACAACTCGAACGACTGGCGTGCTGCATCTTGCAATCCGCCCAGTCCCAAGGCATTGGCCCGGGGATCATGCAGTGCACTCATGATGCCCCCAGCTAGGGCAGACTGCCCAGTGGTTCCATCGTGATGCCCGCCATGATGTCCAGGTTGTTGTGCCCCACTTCCTTCTCTTCGCCCTCTCTGAGAATCTGCTGCCCCATCAGCGGCAGGATGCATAGCCAAGCGCCGAACAGCCAGATCATCTTCCGCAGGCAATGACGAAGCCCTTGCTGCTCGTTGCTCTCGGAGCAGGCGGTCAAGCTTCTGATCTGCTGTCTCCTCTGGTAGTCGTCGTCGATCTTCTCGATGTGCACGTCGAGCGTCTTGACCTTCTGGTGGGTCGGCCCTTTCGCGAGAGCCTTGCCTTCTTCGTCTCTGCAGCGCTGCCATGGCGGCCAACAACCACACCTCTCACACAGAGGCTGTGGGTGGACTTGAAAAGCTAGGCCTTTGGGCTCATAACCTAAGGAGGTTGGGGTGTGCAAAGCAAGCGGTCTTTTCCACCTGCTCAGCTTGAGCCAAACCATTTGGTTGGCGAAGTTCATCAACAGCTCGAATCGAAGTGCTCGATCGAAAGCGAAAATGCTCATGAGGTGCATGGACTGTCTGCCACAGAAACAAAGCAAACAAAATTGCTCTCTTAAGAGGGGTCCTGCTGCAGTTGCCTCACCCAAACAGCTTTGGTCTGGGTTTCAAAGGCTTGGTCTAGACCTTAGGAGTGAAGAATCTATAAAAACCAAAGGGAGACAAGGCCTTGAATCATTTACTTTGCATCATGTGTTTTTTGTTTGCGCATGTTGGTAGTGTCAAAGAAAAAGGTACGTTTACATTCAACTTGATCTAATTCAAATGCTGTATCCGGGTAATCCATGAGTGAAAGCTCTGAAATCTCCAAAAAAACAATCAGTATAGTAAAACTGGCAATCGTACATGACGGCATGTTTGCCAAGAAACGTGGCTTGCCAGGTGGGTTGATGTGCGAAATCTTCTGGATGCAGCGGATTCGATCATTGTCCAACGCACGTGCTACAAGGTCGCACTCGACATAGTACTCCACCAAATCTGTACCCTCAGCGGCACCTCTCATGAAAGTGATTTCCGAACAAAATAAGGGAATGATTCTACACACTCGTTTGGAATTCTTCGAAGCGAGCATAAAAAACATAGACGTAGTTGAAAACATGCGAAACGCTTGATCTGCTCGGTTGTTTTGGGCCCCAGGCCTCGGTACAGAACGTGGTAGCCAGTATGCGCAATGTTTGGCATCAAACCGATGATCTCCACACCATCAGCTCTTGTCTCATTGACTCGTTTACGCGCAACATTTGTACTTCCGATTGTGAGTAGTGCCTTGTGGTCAGCCTTGAAATAGTTTGTCAGGTTTTCATTGTCGAATCGATTGCGATGCTCAATGTGGCTTTCCTTGCCACGATTTGCCATGATGCATTCCAAGCTGAAAGCCATCTGGTTAATCTGCACCAGTACATCAACTTTGCCATTGCGGGCGGTCAAAGGTGCAGAAGCCTGATACCCCAATCTCTGCAGAGCATGTAGGATGGCAGCATTGTATTGCTCTTCATACGGCAAGTCTGACCCTGACAGCGAGGAATTTGATTCAAGGTCTGCGGCAAAGGAGACCACCTGTGCAAAAGTCAGATATGGAATTGCGCGAAGCAACAGATCCAAACAATTGACTGGCACAAACGGTTCAACATGCACTTTCAATCCACGAAAGTTCTGTAATTGATGCCTGTAGTAGGAAGCCAGAATTGGATTGGCAACAGCATACGTGGCACCTGGTCTTGTCCAATCTACTCGCTGGAACTCATCATTACCTTCCGAGAACGGGATGACAAATCCCTGGATGGTCAACTCATGCCGTATCTCCTTAGAAAGACTACCTGGGCCTTCACAGAGACGTTGTATGAATTCTTTTGGCACTACGTCAATCCAATTCACCTTCACTCCTCGTGATTCAGCAAGTGCACCCAAGATCGTGCCAGTTGCCCAACTTCCATCGCCTATGCTGGCTCGAACTTTTGCGACTGTTTCTCTATATGCCCAATGACTTGTCTCATCTTGCATCTTTTTGACCCAGTTCATCGCGGCAACAAAAATTGATCTATGCCCGGCGCAAAATTTGAGGAAGAAAGCCACGCTTCTTGCATCTAGGTGTACGCCTGCCTCATTCAACTGTTTGACAAGTTCATCAAGAGCATCCTCCGTTTCAGGGACAGGAGGAGTCCAAAAGAACTTCTGTCTGATCTCGGTAGCTGCGACCTCGCTGCTCATCTTTGCCTCGTCGCCTGATGCTGATAACAAGAGCAGCTTGGGGTGTCTTGTACTCTGAAAGAGAGATTCGCAAAGTAGTGGTAACGAAAATATTGTATGCGCTTCATCCAACACCAAAATGAGATCATCGTTAATTGCTAACTCGAGAGCAGTTCGCAAGCAAAGAAGAGGCGATGTCTCTCGCAGTTTCGCAGTTCCTGTGGCACTACGAATTGCATTATTGATGTCTGCAATCCATGTCTCTTCTGCAGCACAGGTGAAGGGAACGCGAACAAACCTTTTTGGGAACTGCCGGGCCAAATCAGCCCCCATGGTGCTTTTGCCCACGGCAACACCTCCACGAACAAACACAAAATCCTCTCCGTCAAACAAATCCTCTATCTTCTGTCCATAACCTTCCAAGGGAACGAACACGTGTTCTTCAGGATTTGCGGGACTTGTCAAGGGAGGCAACTGCCGTTTCTTGGATTCAGCTGCCAACCGTGTTTGCGCAGACTGCCTTGCTCTGGTAGCTTCTCTGCCTAAGCCTGTTACTGCTAGAGCTGGATGCGAGCCATTGATGGGCAGGTGCAAGAAGCACAGCACGACAGTGGCAACAATCAACACTTTGAAGCGACTTGATGGACCAAGTCGTTGACGAACCATGGCGTAAGAAAGGAATGTTCTTAATTTTCCTTGATTTTTTAGGTTAGTAAGAATCAAACGGTTGACGCTGAATGTCTTGCATCAGCTTGGACACGGAGGTTGAGTGTACATCCTATTCTCGACCAGAATCCTGTCCGAACCAGAGTGCTTCACAATTAAATTGCCATTCCAATCTGAATCAACCCAGATTCAAAGGGCAAGAGCAAAGCGCCAACTGTGGGGTGTAAGACAATGGAAGCATGCAAATACGCAGGAAATAGCAGTGATGACAATCAAACCTACAGCCTCCTTTTGAATGAAGCTACTTTCATTCTGCGACAGCTCAGCTGCTCGTCATGGACCTCGACTCATCGTTTCCAAACCGAAGAAAGTGAAAGAAAAGTTATTTGTATAAGCATTTGCACTGTCTATAGTCCATGTGCCATCCGACAAAACAAGGCAACACTTTGTGACCATTCAACTCCAGAACGGTCAAACTACAGCAGGTTGCTGAGAAAGCTGAGAAAAGCACCTCCTATGTTGATGGTATCGTGAAACCATAACAGTCTGTCCTCAAAGCTGAGCAAGACCGGAGGTGGCAAAAACAAAGACTCAGCAAGCAAGTATGGTTCAACTTGCTGAAAACAAAACACCAAGTGCCGGGCTTGGACGTGCCACGATTCACTGATGCTTCTTCGTCTTCCTTAATCCACTTTCCATCCTGCCGTGAGCAAACTGGCAAACCACAATCTGCAGCAAAGACACTGTGCTGACAGGGTTGTGAAACAGCAAAACTCTCCTTGAGGCTGTAGATGTTGAGTTCATCTGCATCACACAAGACCTTGGCGTCTTCTTGGTTCTGAACAAGCTGCCTTTAACACAAAGCAAGTGGGAGAAGTAATGAAACACCACCCTACCTTTATTGACATGGCCCGACTCATAAACTGCTAGCGCAAGAAACATTCAATGTGGCCGCCCATGTGGGGGCACCTTTGCGCCTGACGCTGCCTCCGTTTATTGACGCCGTGTTGGGAACTCGTTGGCGCCGCATTCCCTGACGCTCCTTTCCCCACTGACACCGCATACCCCCCTGACGCCGCCTAGCTGACGTCGCATACCTCCCTGACGCCGCCTATTGACGCCGCATTCCTTGACGCCGCGTTCCTGTCTGACGCCGCATACCTCCCTGACGCCGCCTATTGACGCCGCATTCCTTGACGCCGCGTTCCTGTCTGACGCCGCATACCTCCCTGACGCCG